GGCTTTAAAGTGGCTAAGAGTCATGACATTGTCTGCACAAGACAGCATTTTCTGTCACTTACAGAAAGTTACATTTGGCATGTCAAGAAAAAAAAAACATAATCCCAAAGCAGCAACCATTTAAAATAAAAGACTGCCACAAGAATTCATGCAGAATATTTAAAATTTTTCTGTTGAACAAAATGATTTAACTGATTTTTTTCTTTAAAGATGATGCTCTCAAATAGATTATATGCATCTTTTGGAAATTTAAAGATCCTGGAAAAGCATCTTCCATGTGGGACATCTTGAAAGATAGTATTTTGGTTTCAGTAAGTTACATTAATGAATCTCCAGTCCTTATCAGTGTAATGGGTCTGTTTACAGAGTGTAAGTTTGTGGATGGGCGCGGTGGCTCACGCCTGTAATCCCAGCACTTTGGGAAGCCGAGGTGGGCAGATCACGAGGTAAGGAGATGGAGACTATCCTGGCTAACACGGTGAAACCCCGTCTCTACTAAAAATATAAAAAATTATCTGGGCGTGGTGGCATGCCTCAAAGATGAGGCAGAATTGCTTGAACCCGGGAGTCGGAGGTTGCAGTGAGCTGAGATCAGACCACTGCACTCCAACGTGGGCGACAGCGCAAGACTCCATCACAAACAAGCAAACAAAAAACAGAGTATAAGTTTGTTTCTTAGATTTGCGGAATTTATGAAGAAAGAAAATTATAACATTACCCAGCTTCAACAAATCTTAACATTTTGCCGTATTTGCTTCCAATGCTCCCCTTTTCCCATAGCTCAGTAATTTATCCACAAGAACATTATTAGCACTTCAGGAGCTCTTTTCATACCTTCATGCCTCCTCTTAATCACTATCCACAAAAGGGAACTATTATCCTGAATATTATGCTTCTCTTTACAGTTTGCCACTTAAGCAAGTATCTCTAAAACTAGTTTCATTTATTTAAAACATTTGATATAAATGTCATCATATAGTATGTAGTTGTCTGTGTGTGTGTGTGTATGTGTGTGTGTGTGCGACTTCTTTTGCTTTTCATCTGTGAGATTTAACTATGATTGTACATATAGCTAGAGTCTGTCCATTTTCATTACTGTTTAATATTCCATTGCAAATAAAGCCATTAAATAAAAATTCTTCTGGACATTTTGCTTTCAGTTTTGGCTGTTCAGAAAATAATGTTGTGGGCTGGGTTTGATGGCTCATGTGTGTAATCCCAGCACTTTCAGAGGTGGGATTTGCTTGAGCCCAGGAGTTCAAGATCAGCCTGCTTAACATGGTGAAACCCTGTCTCTACTAAAAATACAAAAATTAGCTGGGCATGATGGCACTCATCTGTAATCCCAACTACTCAGGAGGCTGAGGCATGAGAATCACTTGAAACAAAGAGGTGGAGGTTGCAATGAGCCAGAATAGTGCCATTGTCCTCCAGCCTGGGTGACAGAGTGAGTCTCTGTCTCAAAAAAAAAAAAAGATAAAAAAATAAAGAGCAGAAATTAATGAAATAGGCTCGGTGTGGGTGGCTCATGCCTATAATCCCAGCACTTTGGGAGGCTGAGGCTGGTGGATCACCTGAGGTCAGGAATTTGAGACCAGTCTGGCCAACATGGTGAAACCCTGCCTCTACTAAAAATACAAAAATTAGCTGAGCATGCTGGTGTGTGGCTGTAATCTCAGCTACTTGGGAGGCTGAGCCAGGAGAATTGATTGAACCTGGGAGGTGGAGGTTGCAGTGAGCCAAGATCATGCCACTGTACTCCTGCCTGGGAGACAGAGCAACATTCTGTCTCAAAAAAAAAAAAAAAAAAAGAAACAAGAAACTAATAAAATAAACAACAAACATGTACCATAGAGAGGTTCAACAAATCAGGAAAGCCAGAATTTGGAACTTGATAATGCTAATTACATTGAAAAACAAATTACCAATATCAGGAACAAAGAGGAGGACATTATTGTGGAACCTAGAGACATTTAAAAAGATAAGAGGATGGCCGGGTGCCTGGCTCATGCCTGTAATCCCAGCACTTTGGGAGGCCAAGGCAGGTGTATCACAACGTCAGGAGTTCAAGACCAGCCTGGCCAATACGGTGAAACCCCGTCTACTAAAAATACAAAAAAAGGTGTGTGTGGTGGCAAATGCCTATAATCCCTACTACCTGTGAGGCTGAGGCAGAAGAGTCAGTCGCTTGAACCTGGGAGGTGGAGGTTGCAGTGAGCCGAGATTGCGCCACCACACTCCAGCCTGGGTGATAGAGTGAGATTCCGTCTCAAAACAATAGCAACAAAAAACATAAGAGGGTATTATATACAATTTATACCAGTAAAGTTTGAAGGTTTATGTGAAATAGACAAATTTATTGAAATGCACAACTTAATAAAATTAACACAAGAAGTAAAGGAAAATGTGAGTAGGTCCATAACATAAAATAAATGGAATATGTAAAGAAAAACCTTTTCACAAAGAAAACTCTAGGTTCAGATGGCTTCATCAGCAAATTCTGTCATATATTTAATGAAGAAATAACACTAATCTCACATAAATTTTTTCAGAAAATAGAAAATAAGACATATAGGCTGGGCACAGTGGCTTATGCCAGTAATCCTAACACTTTGGGAGGCCGAGGTGGACGCATTGCCTGAGCCCAGGAGTTCAAGATCAGCCTGGGCAACATGGTGAAACCTCATCTCTGCTGAAATACAAAAAATTAGCCCGGCGTGGTGGCGTGTGCCTGTAGTCCCAGCTATTCAGGAGGCTGAGGCAGGAGAATTGCTTGCACCCGGGAGGCGCAGGTTGCAGTGAGCTGAGATTGCACCATTACACTCCAGTTTGGGCGACAGAGTAAGACTTCGTCTCAAAAAAAAAAAAAAAAAAAGACATATTTCCCACCTAAGTGTATAAGGCTAGAAAAAACATCTTTTTTTTTTAGTCTGTGGCTTATCTAGTATTTTATTATTACTTTTAAGGTTTTATATTTATTTATTTATTTAATATGAATGATTAGTATGTTCACATGAATATAAAATCCAGAAAATACAAAAGGGCATACAGTGAAAACCTAATGAAGATATTACAAGAAAGGAAAATTTAAGACCAGTCTCACTTATGAATGTATGGGAAACCTAAACAAACTATTAGCAAACCAAATTCAACATGTAAAAATGATAATATGTCATAATAAAATTGAGTTATTCTAGAAATGCAAGGTTGGTTAAACATTAGAAAATCATTATTATTTACCATAAATGAGAAAAATTATATGATCAATAGATGCACAAAGTTTTGATAAGTATTTGATAAAATTAAATGCCAATACACAACTTTATTTATTTATTTATTTTGAGACGGAGTTTCGCTCTTGTTACTCAGGCTGGAGTGCAATGGCGCGATCTCGGCTCACCGCAACCTCTGCCTCCTGGGTTCAGGCAATTCTCCTGCCTCAGCCTCCTGAGCATCTGGGATTATAGGCACGCGCCACCGTGCCCAGCTAATTTTTGTATTTTTAGTAGATACGGGGTTTCACCATGTTGACCAGGATAGTCTTGATCTCTTGACCTAGTGATCCACCCGCTTCAGCCTCCCAAAGTGCTGGGATTACAGGCGTGAGCCACTGTGCCCGGCCTTATTTTATTTTATTTTTTTGAGGCAGAGTCTTGCCCTGCCGCCCAAGCTGGAGTGCAATGGTGTGATCTTGGCCTACTGTAACCTCCACCTCCTGGGTTCAAGCCATTCTCCTACCTCAGCCTCCTGAATAGCTGGTATTACAGGTGCATGCCACCATGCCTAGCTAGTTTTTTGTGTCTTTAGTAGAGATGGGGTTTCACCATGTTGGCTGAACATGGTCTTGAACTCTTGACCTCAAGTGATCCTCCTGCCTCCTGCCTTGGTCTTCCAAAGTGCTGGGATTACAGGTTTGAGCGACTGTGTTTGGCCTCCCAATACACAATTTTAAATAAGTAAATAAATAAACAGCAGAGGCAAATTACCTGAGTGTGGTGGTGGGCGTCTATAATCCTAGCTACTTGGGAGGCTCAGGCAGGAGAATTGCTTGAGCCTAGGAGGCAGAGGCTGCAGTGAGCTGAGATCACCCCACTGCATTCAAGCCTAGATGTCAAGAGTGAGACTCTGTCTCAAAAAACAAAACAAAACAAAACATAGCAAACTGAGAATAAAAATATACCACTTGAATCTGATTTTGCTAAGTGATGAGTTAGGAAAGATACTATTTTTAAATTTACTTTACTCTGATAATGTGAAGTTGAGATTCTTTTTTTTTTTTTCAAATCTGGCTAAAAGAGCAGAGATTCTTTTTATGTTTATTAGTTATTAGGCCCCCTTTTCTATGCGTTACTGATCATGTCATTTAACTAATTTTCTGCTGAGTCAAGTGTCTTTTCCTTGCTAATTTTTAGGCTTACTGATAAATTCTGAATACTGATTCTTGGTTATATGCATGGTAAACATCTTTTTTTTCAGTCTGTGGCTTGTCTAGTATTTTATTATTTTTTTTCTTTTTTTTTTTCTTAACAGCATGCAGTTTATGTAGCACTTTCATATTATTACTTTTAAGATTTTAGATTTATTTATTTACTTATTATGAATAGTTAGTATGTTCACATGAATATAAAATCCAGAAAATACAATAGAGCATACAGTGAAAAGTTTCTCTCCCACTCCTCTTCCCCTTTTATTCACTTTTCCTCTTTAGAGGCATTGTACTTCATTTTTAAGAAATTTAGTTTGTAATGTCATTTGTTATACAGAAAAATTTAATGTAATTAAATTTATGATTCTTTCGTTGGGGACTGTGCTTTTTATGTCTTGTTTAAGCACCTCTTCTTCTGTCATTAACTTATTCTGTATTTTTAAATGTTTTTAAATTTGGCTTTTCATATTTAGATCTTTATTTTGTTTGGAATTTATTTTTTGTCTGTGATGTGAGGTAGGGATCACCCTTCCCCCATATTGTAAAACTACATGTCCTATGCTTTTACATTTGTAACTGTTTCATCTAGTACAACTTCAGTGGTGATGGGAGTCTGCTTTTGAGTTTCATCTATGCATTGGCAAATACAGTTAATTAACTAGTCTAGTTTTTTATCTCTATTTTCTTACTTGCAGATGAGTGTTCAGAGTCTTAAGTACTGCCTTTCAGGCCCCATAATGTGCCCTTGTATCCTCTAACACGTCTGGAATTTGTGTAGGCTGTGCTGGGGCAGGGAAAGGAGACGTTCTTTGTCACAACAAACAAGGGGAAAGCTTTTTTCCTGTCTCTTCCATTTACCAATGCCTCATCAGAAGCTTTCAGCACTTATGTAAGAAGTGTATTTATTTTCTTGAACTTTAGTACATTTGGTTTGTTTTAAAATATTGTAGAGTAGAAAGTTGTTTTTGCTTATAGTATTTTTTTCTTTAGTCCTAGAAATTTCTTAAGTTCTTAAACATGTTTCTTGATATTCTTAGCTTTATATTGTGGTATTGTGTATTCTTTGGAAAGGGATTAGTGGGCTTTGTGATATGGGGATAACTTTAAGAAAAATAACCCGCTGTAACTCTTTTCCATCTTTCACCTTCTATTTGATTTCTCTTTTAACTATTTCCATCTCTTAGATATTGTTTTACCAGATTGTCCACACAGAACATGTGATGAAGTGGGAGAAAAGAAAAGAACTAGCTTAAAGAAATTAAAATGTGACATAATAAGAGAGAAAAGGGGAGAAAAAACTGGGGAAAAGAAACTGAGATGGTTTAAATATTACTTATGTGTTAAGACTTCCAAGGAATATTTTTCTTCTTATATTTTTTATTAAGAGCTAGGAGCAACCTTGAACCTGTTTATTCTTCTACTTGTTCATGCTGTTTAGGAGGGAGTAGTTTTGGGGGTGATCATGAGGTAGGAAGGATTCTGTTGAAAAATGATACATGTTGCTTCTAGTTTCTTTCTCACTTATGTGAGATCCAGTTTAGTGCTGGAAGGGTCAACTGTAATGAAAGTGTTAGAATCCTGAGTTTTGCTTGGACAGTAATAAAAATCTGTAAGTTTTATGTATGTATGTGTTTCTGTTTCAGGAATATAAAGCTTGCTATTAATATACATTTTTATGTTAAAGCTAATTTGATCTGAATCAGTTATTCAGAATTAAAACGGTTGTGAATTCCAGAAAATGATGAGTTAGACTCAATAAATTATAAGACTCTTTTTCGGGTTACACATTTTATGATTTTCTGGCCTTCCTGGTAGGATAGTAATTACTCATTGGCAGTGATTATAAACAATAGTCCTATATTGACTCTTGCTTCTTGACTGAAATAAGCTGACATTAAAAAAAGAGGTTCTTGTCAATGATTTAAGATGAAGTTGCTTCTAATTCTAACTGGCTTTTATTTATCATCACTGGCATTAGAACAGGAAAAATAACCTAGTATGTAAAAAGGTTGAGGAGACAAGCATTTTAAATTCTATTTTTTTAGTGACTTTTTGGCTTGAGGATACACATTCCTAGATTTTTAACCTTTATATTATTTCTCTTTATTTTTTCTTTTTTCTTTTTCTTTTTTTTTTAAAGATGGGGTTTCACCATGTTGGTCAGTCTGGTCTTTAACTCCCAATCTCGGGTGATCTGCCCGCCTTGGCCTCCAAAGTGCTTGGATTACAGGCCTGAGCCACCACACCCGGCCTATTTTTTATTTTTATTGCAGCAACAATAGCTTAATATGTTATTTCTAATAATACATTTTCATTTCAGAGAAAAAAAAATCTCCTAGCCACCAACGGAAGATATGGGCTGTTGATCAAATCATGCAATAATTTTTCAAGGAAATAGAAATGAACTTTGAAGTTTACCCATGCCTTGTTTTCACTATACTGTTATTAACAATTATCCATGTAGTATTAACAATGTCCTTTGTAGATTAGTTATATCTAATATTTAGAAGTGCTGTCATATTTCCTGGAACAGTGTTTTGGTACCTAGGGCATAATGGACCACTTTTAAGTTGTGATTGCTTTTATTGTGGGTATGTTTGTATGAGTCAGGTGAATTTCCATTCTGCCCAACTGAGATATGATAACTTGTCCTTTCTAGCTTGTGTTACGTCCATTTGTTAGTTATATAATAGATGACTGTTTATATAATAAGGATTAGAACAAGCCATTAGAATTAATTGTTAATAGATACAAACTATATGTCTGCTGTAGTTTCAATCATACAGTTCTTAAACATAACAACATATTAGAAGTAAAAAGGGGTTTAAATGGTTTGGCTGTGTCCCCTCCCAAATCTCATCTTGAATTCTAGCTCCAATAATCCCCATGTGTTGTGGGAGGAACCCAGTGGGAGGTAATTGAATCATGGGGCGGGTTTTTCCTACGCTGTTCTCTTGATAGTAAGTCTCACAAGATCTGATCGTTTTATAAAGGGAGGTTCCCCTGCACATGGTTTCTTGCCTACTGCCATGTAATAGGTGCCTTTGTTCCCCCTTTGCCTTCCACTATGATTGTGAGGCCTCCCCAGCCATGTGGAACTGTGAGTCCATTAAACATCTCTTTCCTTTATAAATTACAAAGTTGTGGGTATGTCTTTATCAGCAGCATGAGAACAGACTAATACAGTAAACTGGTACCAGAGGAGTTGGGTACTGCTGTAAGGATACCCGCAAGTATAGAAGCAACTTTGGAACTGAGTAACAGGCAGAGGTTGGAACAGTTAAGAGGGCTCAGAAGAAGACAGGGAAATGTGGGAAAGTTTGGAACTTCCTAGAGACTTGTTGAATGGCTTTGACCAAAATGCTGATAGTCATATGGACAATGAAATCCAGACTGACATGGTCTCAGATGGAGATGAGGAACTTTTTGGGGACTGGAATAAAGGTCATCACTCTTGCTATGCAGAGAGACTGGTGGCATTTTGCCCCAGCCCTAGAGATCTGTGGAACTTTGAACTTTAGGGAGGTGATTTAGGGTATCTGGTAGAAGAAATTTCTTTTTTTTTTTTTTTAAATTTTATTTATTTATTTATTTTCAATATATATTTTTTAAAGGCAGGGTTTCACCATGTTGGTCAGGCTGGTCTTGAACTCCCGACCTCAGGCGATCTACCTGCCTTGGCCTCCAAGGTGCTTGGATTACAGGCGTGAGCCACTATGCCTGGCCTGGTGGAAGAAATTTCTTAGCAGCAAAGTGTTCAAGAGGAAGCAGAACATAAAAGTTTGAAAAATTTGCAGCCTGACAATGTAGTAGAAAAGAAAAACCCATTTTTTGCAGGGAAATTCAAGCTGGCAGCAGAAATTTGCATAAATAAGGAGAAACCAAATGCTAATTTCTAAGACAGTAGGGAAACCGTCTCCAGGGCACTGTCAGAGACCTTTGTAGCAGCCCCTCCCATCATAGACCTGGAAGCCTAGGAGGAAAAATGATATTGTGGGCTTGGCCCAGGGCCCTGCTGCTTTGTGCAGTCTCTGGACTTGGTGCCCTGGGTCCCAGCAATGGCTAAAAGGGGCCAGTGTATAGCTCAGGCCATTGCATCAGAGGGTGCAAGCCCCAAGCCTTGGCAGCTTACGTGTGATGTTGGGCCTGTGGGTACACAGAAGTCAAGAATTGACATTTGGGAACCTCAGCCTAGACTAGAGAGGATGTATGGAAACGCCTCGATATATAGGCAGAGGTGTGCTGCAGAGATGAAGCCCTCATGGAGAACCTCTGATAGATCAGTTCAGAAGAAGGAAAATGTGGGGTGGGAGCCCCCACACAGAGTCCCCACTGGAGCATTGCCTAGTGGAGCTGTGAGAAGAGGGCTCCCATCCTCCAGACCCCAGAATACACTGACAGCTTGCACTGTGCACCTGGAAAAGCCGCAGACACTCAATGCTAGCCTGTGAAAGCAACGAGGAAAAGAGATCTAGCAAAGCCGCAGGAGCAGAGCTGCCCAAGACCATGGGAACCCACCTCTTGCATCAGCATGACCTAGATGTGAGACATGGAGTCAAAGGAGATTATTTCAGAACCGTAAGATTTAATTACTACCTTGTTGGATTTCAGACATGCATGGGGCCTATAGCCCTTTGTTTTGGCTAATTTCTCCCATTTAGAATGAGTTTATTTATCCAATGCTTGTACCCTCATTGTACCTAGGAAGTAACTAATTTGCTTTTGATTTTACAGGTTCATAGGCAGAAGGGACTTGCCTTGTCTCAGATGAGACTTTGGACTGTGTACTTTCGAGTTAATGCTGAAATGAGTTAAGACTTTGGAGGACTGTTGGGAAGGCATGGTTGGTTTTGAAATGTGAGGACTGGCTGGGTGGGTATGGTGGCTCATGCCTGTAATCCCAGCACTTTGGGAGGCCGAGGCAGGTGGATCACCTGTGGTCAGAAGTTCAAGACCAGCCTGGCCAACATGGAAAAATCCTGTCTCTACTAAAAATACAAAAATTAGCCGGGTCTGGTGACGGGCACCTGTAATCCCAGGTACTCAGGAGGCTGAGGCAGGGAGAATTGCTTGAACCTGGGAAGCAGAGATTGCAGTGAGCCAAGATTGTGCCATTGCACTCTAGCCTGGGCAATAGAGTGAGACTCTGTCTCAAAAAAAAAGAAAAAGGAAAAGAAATGTGAGAATATGAGATTTGGGAGGGGCCAGGGGCAGAATGATGTGGTTTGGCTGTGTCCCCACCCAAATCTCATTTTGAACTATAGCTCCCATAATCCCCATGTGTCATTAGAGGAAGCTGGTGGGAGGCAATTGAATCATGGGGTGGGTTTTTCACCCCACCATAAGTCTCATGAGATCTGATGGTTTTATAAAGGGCAGTTACCTCACACGCACTCTCTTGCCTGCTGCCATGTAAGATGTACCTTTGTTCCTTCTTCACCTTCTGCCAAGATTGGGAGGCCTCCCAGTCATGTAGAACTGGGTGTCCATTAAAGCTCTTTTTCTTTATAAATTACTCAGTCTTGGGCATTTCTTCCTAGCAATATGAAAATGGACTAATACAAGGGTATAGTAGGCACTGGGAAACAAAGAACAGGGAAGAAAATATTTCTGAGATCCAAAGGAGCTTTGTCAAGAGTATAGCCCAAAGTAATGTAGGAGTGGAGAACCAGCTAAGATCAGGAGCCCTAGAGAGAAGAACTGTCTGAGCAGAGGTTGGACTCAGATAATGATAGATGGGTCAGAGGCATCCAGAATTAGAGTATTTTAAAATAAAACCTATTTGTGGACATGGGAAAAGCTGAATTAATGTTTGTTTTATGTACTTGTGCTTTCCCTTCTGTGAGGCTTTGTGGTTGTAAGGAACAGAGTTCAAGGGCAGCTGGCTCAATTAAAGGAAGCTGACTATAAGGAAACCTTTGCCTTTGCGTGGAGTTGGGACCAAAGAACCCAATGAGTAGTGCATATAAAACATACAAAAATATGTCCTGAGAGATTTTCTTCTGTTTTTTTCAGTGATGCCATCTGCAGTTTTGTGATCTGCAATGACTCTTCCCTTCGAGGTCAGCCCATTATCTTTAATCCTGACTTTTTTGTGGAGAAACTCCGACATGAGAAACCTGAGGTGTTCACCGAGTTGGTGGTCAGCAATATCACAAGGCTCATCGATTTACCTGGAACAGAGTTGGCTCAGCTGATGGGGGAAGTGGACCTTAAGTTGCCTGGCGGGGCCGGCGCAGCGTCAGGATTCTTCCGGTCTCTCATGTCTCTCAAGCGCAAGGGTAGGAGATGTGTCTGTGAAGGGTGGGTAGGCCTCAGCTGCGCCCTGGGCTTCTCTCTCAACATCTATACATTACTAAAGAGTTGCTATTAAAGCATTTTTGGGCCATATAAAAAATTTTCATAAGTAATAACACCTTAAGTAATAGTAATACAAATTATGAAAACTGTCTAGATAAATAATTAAACTAAAGCAAATATATTCAGTTTCTGAGAGATGACATGATTAACTTAGGTAGTTATCAGGGGTGTCTTGATTTTCATGCCCTATTAATATGTGAAAATAATCTTTAAAAAATCAAGATTACATAGCTAGAGGCTATAGTAAAGAAAACTTGAATTTTTTTCCTTTCTTTTTCTCTTTTTTTAGGGGATGGGATCTCACACTGTTGCCAAGGCTCAAGTATAGTGGTGTCATTACAGCTTACTGTAGCCTCAAATTCCTGGGCTCAAACTATCCTTCTGTCTCAGCCTCCTGGTAGCAGGGACTACAGGTGCACGACACCATGCCTGACTGTTTTCTGTTTTTTGTAGAGACGGGGTCTCACTATATTGCCCAGGCTGGTCTCAAACTCCTGGCCTCAAGCAGTCCTCCCACCTCAGCCTCCCAAAACACTGGGATTACAGGTGTGAGCCACAATGTCTGGCCTTCTGTTTGTTGTTAAATTAAATACTAACATGCTAGATATCGCCTTCTTTCTTAGTAGGTATGTGCTTCTTACTTAAACAAGAAGGTGGTCTTTGCCCTCAAAGAACCTATACTCTAATATTGAACTTGAGAGAGCTGACTGAGAGTTGTTCTTATTGTCTTTTCTGGTTTACTTCCACTTCTAAGGTTTTTGTTCACTGACCATGTGAAAACACTTGCTGAATTGTGAAATAATAGGATGCTTGAGTGGTTTTAGGTATGATGACTTTGTACTATGTGTGTAGAATAGAGCCCTGTCATATCATATGTTTTTTTCAGAAAAAGGAGTGATATTTGGGTCCCCACTGACGGAGGAAGGCATTGCCCAGATATACCAGTTGATTGAATATCTACACAAAAGTAAGACTACTTGAAATTTTATCATTCTCTGTTTAATGTAGAGTTTTCAGTTTTCTGTTGAGAGCTGTCTTGAGTTAGTGGGCACCAATTAACCATCAACAAAGGAACTAGCCAGTGTTAATTTTAGGTGGCATGTTTTTAAATGCATTTCCTTTTAAACTTCATCTCATATATTCATTTGCTTTATACTCTCAAAGTGTATATATATTAGACTGTGAAGTCACATTTACCTCTCGACTCAGAGAGACATTTCTTCTGGAAAAATATGTTGTTCCTAAAGAATTGTGGCATTTATTTAAGAGAGCATGATACTTTTTTTCCCCTCCAGAATTACATGCTTAAAACACATTATTTACTTAAACATTTCTTTTCTTTTTTTTTTTTTGAGACAGTGTCTCAATCTGTTATCCAGGCTGGGGTGCAGTGGTGCAATCTTGGCTCACTGCAGCCGTGAGCTCCTGGGCTCAGGTCATTCTCCCATCTCAGCCTCCCTTGTAACTGGGACCACAAGCTTGCACGACCACACCTGGCTAGTTTTTGTATTTTTTTTTTTTTTTTGTAGAGATGGGGTTTTGCCATATTGCCTAGGCTTGTCTTGAACTCCTGGGCTCAAGTGATTCACCTGCCTAGGCCTCCCAAAGGGCTGAGATTATAGGCATAAGCCATTTCACCTAGCCTAGGAATGAATAGTTTAGTTGGGATGATCCTAAGCTTCTGGTAATCTTTTAGGCTGAAAGGTAATTTGACATGTTAGAGTTCTGATTCCTAGAGCAATGCAGACTCTGGATTCATTCTGGGCTGGGAAAACAGTTTACAAGAGCCACAGACATCCACACATATATGTAGCCCCTCCAAACCAAGTCTGGGATAAACAAGGAGAAGAGGTCTTCAGGGAGATTTGGCTTTCTTCAGTTTATTTTTCAATCTAATTCTGACTTGATTGGGTTAAATTCAGAGTGTCTAAACATACCTCAGGATGTTGAATGACTCCTGGGAGGACTATCTTTTAGTTTGGAAGATCTCCAAATGCTCAGGGATGTTCAGATATGTCTCCTCAGGAGGTCAGTAGGTTCTAAACTACCCTGGTGAAAAAAGGCAAAAACTTACTTGAAAGGCTTTGTAAAGGGTCTTTTAAGTGTAAAGTAGTCTTTAGATTATGTATTTTAATCATAATCTTTCTGCTTCCTTTTTGCCTGTCCTCTGCTTTCTTTTATACTAAACAGACTTGCGAGTAGAGGGTTTGTTTAGAGTACCAGGTAATAGTGTCCGACAGCAGATTTTAAGGGATGCTCTCAATAATGGAACTGACATTGACTTGGAATCAGGGGAGTTTCATTCAAATGATGTTGCCACTTTGCTGAAGATGTTTCTAGGAGAATTGCCGGAGCCTCTGCTGACACATAAACATTTCAATGCGCACCTCAAAATTGCTGGTGAGTAAAGGAAGTAAGAGGGAGATGTAAATACATATCTTTCAATTTAGTAAAGTTCCTAGGAATTTTCTGTTGCTTGTGACCCGCAGCAATACTTCTGTTAATATTGGTTAAGACTTTGTGATGTTGCTGGACTTCTCTGGTACTCACAGGTTTTGGCTAGTTAGGTTTAATTTAATCGGATGACTTTCTTGGTGATTAAGCTTTGTATTGAGGTAATGAGCTGGTGGTAAGATGTGGTCTGGGTTTTATTTATTTTTGAGTCTTTGATAGGTCCTTGAGTAGTATGTTGAACATTTTAGTTGAAGACAGGGTCTTACTCTGTCACCTAGGCTGGAGTGCAGTGGTGCAACCTTGGCTCACTGCAGCTTTGACCTCCCAGGCTCAGGTGAGCCTCCCACCTCAGCCTCCCAAGTAGCTGGGACTACAGGCGTGCGCCACCATGCCTGGCAAATTTTTCTGTATTTTTTGTAGACGTGCGGTTTTGCCATATTGCCCAGGCTTGAACTCCTAGGCTCAAGCCATCTGCTCACCTTGGCATCCTGAAGTGTTGGGATTATAGGCATGAGCAACTGTGCTCAACCCATTTTAGTTGCTTAATAAATGTATGCTTTTCATTGGATTCATTAATATATTTCAGATGGTTACAGGTTCAGTATTTTTGCCTTGGTTTGGGGTTTTTAGTCAGTATTTCTATGCCTCAGTTGAGGACATCTCTACTCTTGGAAATTTGTTTTTTAAAAAATAGTATTTGTCTCAAGCCTGTAATCCCAGCACTTTGGGAGGCCGAGGCGGGTGGAGCACAAGGTCAAGAGATCGAGACCATCCTGGTCAACATGGTGAAACCCTGTCTCTACTAAAAATATAAAAAAAAAAAAATTAGCTGGGCATGGTGGCACGTGCCTGTAATCCCAGCTACTCGGGAGGCTGAGTCAGGAGAATTGCCTGAACCCAGGAGGCGGAGGTTGCAGTGAGCCGAGATCGCGCCATTGCACTCCAGCCTGGGTAACAAGAGCGAAACTTCGTCTCAAAAAAAAAAAAAAAATAGTATTTGTTTTCTAAATAGAAACACATAGGTCAAAATTCAGATGATTCAAAGAATATACAGTAAAAACCTTCTCTCCTACCTCTGTTCCCTAACACCCAGTTCTTCCCAGAAACAACCAGTGTTATTATTTAATTTTTTTTTTTTGAAAAAAGAAAGCCTGGGCTGGGCGCGGTGGCTCACGCCTGTAATCCTAGCACTTTGAGAGGCCGAGGAGGGCAGATCCCGAGCTCAAGAGATCGAGACCATCCTGGCCAACATGGTGAAACCCTGTCTCTACTAAAAATACAAAAAATTAGCCAGGCGTGGTGGTGAGTACCTGCATTCCCAGCTACTCCGGAGACTAAGGCAAGAGAATTGCTTGAAACCGGAAAATGGAAGTTGCAGTGAACCAGGACTGCACCACTGCACTCCAGCCTGGCGATAGAGCGAGACTCTGTCTTAAAAAAAAAAAGAAAGCCTGTTTCCCAGTCTGGTCTCAAACTCCTGGCTTCAAGTGATCCTCCCTCAGTCTCCCAAAGTGCTAGCTAGGATTGCAGGCATAAGCCCCAGCCCCCAGCCCAGTGTCACTGATTTCTAAAGTGTTCTTCCAGAGATATTTTGTGTACTACCAAACAAATACATTATTTCTTCTATTTTTATGTAATAGATTGTACACATGGTTCTGTGGTTTGCTTTTTTCACTTATTGTATCTTAGAGAAGGTTCCATTTTTAGGTCATAAATGGCTTCTTCATACTCCCTTAGACCTGTGTGGTAGGGAATTCATTCTTAAATTGCACGTCTGTTGCACCGCTAAGTGTGTACAGCATCAATATCCATTATTGCAGTTGCTTACTTTTCTGCCCCTGAGTATTTTTCCTGTTTCTTCTAATTATATGGAAAAGAAATACAAGGTTTTTTTTTTCCTTTTGAGTAATTTTAACTTAGAGAAATGTTTTGAATTAAAAAAAAATAATCTTAAAGCAGTTTTAGTAGCAATCCAAATGATACAATGAGTAAATATTACTATGATGTTATATGATTTTATAGTTATTTTGGGGAGAAATAAAGATGTTAGACCTTTGGAAAATATTCTTTTTTTTTTTTTTTTTAAATTTGAGACGGAGTTTCGCTCTTGTTACCCAGGCTGGAGTGCAATGGCGCGATCTCGGCTCACTGCAACCTTCCGCCTCCTGGGTTCAGGCAATTCTCCTCCCTCAGCCTCCTGAGTAGCTGAGATTACAGGTGGAAAATATTCTTTTTACAAATGTTAACATGAAGGATGCTCGTTTTGTTTGCTTTCCAGTTCAGTTCATTCATTTAGTGCAATATTTGAAATCCTCCCTTCCACCACCCTGTGGTTCACTATTCTCTGAGAACATACTGAGGTGTGGCACAGTTCACATGCCTTGCTGGTAACTGGAAGGAATTTTTGTTTTCAGTTTCATATTAACAGGGGACATTTTCTAGAAGTGTTATCTGCCTTTCCTAAACCTGGAATTATTGAGATTAAACAGCTTAAGTAACACACTGTAATCATTTTTAGGTCTATATGAATTGTACTCAAATGGTTATTAGTGTCCTTTGAAACTTTCATTATCTGGTAGACTACTTTTTTGATAACCTTTTTAGCCTGTTGGTTAGGGGAGAACCAATAATCCTGACTCCATTGGGATCTGCCTGTTATAAGGAGCAGCTTGTGAATAAGGACATATTCATGCTCATTTTTCACTCTCATTTTTCTTTTAGCTGTAAAATATCTGAGCGGGGAGAAGTGGAGTGAGTGGCATTATCGAAGGCATGTGTAGATCTTTTTATTTTTTATAGAGATGGGGTTTTGCCCTGTTGTCCAGGCTGGTCTTGAAATCCTGGGCTCAAGTGATCTGTCCAGCTTGGCCTCCTAAAGTATTGGGGTTACTGGTGTGTGCCAATGCGCCTGACCTGGATATGTTTTTATTTCTCTTGGGTATATACCTAGGAATGGAATTTCTTGTTCAAATGGTAACTCTCACTTTTTAAGGAACTACCAAAATGTTTTCCAAGTGGTTATACCATTTTATATTCCCACCAGCAATGGAGGAGGGTTTAATTTCTCTACATCTTTGCCAGCATTTTTTATTGTCACTCTGTTTGTAGTTATAGCCATTGTGGTGGGTATGAAGTAGTGTATCATTGTGGTTTTGATTTATAGTTTCTTTTTTTTTTTTAAGATGGGGTTTCACCATATTGGTCAGGCTGGTTTCAAATTCCTAACCTCAGGTGATCACCCGCCTCAGCCTCCCAAAGTGCTGGAATTACAGGCGTGAGCCACCGTGCCTGGCTTGATTTATAGTTTCTTTATGGCTAATGATACTGAGCATACAAAGCCTTATTGGCCACTTGTATACCTTCTTTGAAAGAATGTCTATTCAAATCCTGTACACATTAACAAATTTTTTTGGCCTTTTTATTGTTGAATTGTATTGACATTATTTTGTTATGTTCTACTGTAATCTTTGAATTGTGTTTCTGCCTGAATCTTTTTTTCTCCTTTCTTAGATGGGAGTTGAGGGGAGGATAATGGCGATAGCATTGATTTTTCTTGCTGATATTTTCTCCCTGCTTTGCAAATTCTTTTTTGTCCTCAAGATTTGATGCAGTTTGATGATAAAGGAAACAAAACCAATATACCAGACAAGGACCGGCAAATTGAGGCTCTCCAGTTACTCTTCCTCATTCTCCCTCCTCCCAATCGGAATTTGCTGAAGTTATTGCTTGATCTCCTATACCAGACAGCAAAGAAACAAGACAAGAATAAGATGTCAGCCTATAACCTTGCTCTTATGTTTGCACCCCATGTCCTGTGGCCAAAAAATGTGAGTGTTGACAGGAAGAGTAAAGATTGCTTGATTTTCTTGGGCTGGACCTTATTCTGTGGCTGTAACTTGGTGAGATTATCAAGGGGCCAAGGTCTAGCCTTCAGCTTTATGAGGTTGGGAAGTTACTTTATTAGTTCATTGAGGGTCATCAGAGCTGACAGGGCCAATTCCTGTTAACTTCACTTATAAATCAATCTCTGGTAAACCTGCATGGGATGGTATTAGTGGCAACGCTTAGTGGGAAATTATAGCTACTGAATAAACAAGAATACTCATTTTGGCTGGTCAGTATGGTTATACTTCTTAACAGGGAAGTCTTCTTGGGAAATCAAATTAGTTTCTGAAGATCGAATAGTATAAAATTAGAATAGAGCTGTATGAACTTGTGGGATAATGTCACCAAGCTTATAGATTTATAGATGAGATGGCACTTAGAACAATCCTGTCTTGTCCTAACTTTTCTATTTCCTATAGATATGTAGTCTCTTTGGATAAAGCTGAACTTTATTCTTACTATGGAGACCATGGTCTTCTCAGTGACTTACATGAGAAATAAATTCACTCTCTCTTTTTTAATATCTGAGGGATAAAAACAGAGAAATAAAATTCTTTGAAATATTTTTTTCTGTTGGTTTTTGAGACAGGGTCTCGTTCTGTTGCCCAGGCTGGAGGGGAGTAACACAATCACTGCTCACTGCAGCCTCATCTAAAGTCTTTTAAACAAATTGTTGATCTGGGGGTATATAGATCATATTCCTGACCATTTATAATCTGAGTTGTGAGCCAGGGTAGGTGGATTGGAAGCCACATACCAGCAATGTTACCTATGTCTTTTCTCTTTTTTTATTTGAGACTGAGTCTCACTCTGTTGCCCAGGCTGGAGTGCAGTAGTGCAATCTCAGCTCACTGCAACCTCTACCTCCCAGGTTCAAACAATTCTCCTGCCTCAGCCTCCTAAGTATCAGGAACTATAGGCTTGTGCCACTACACCTGGCTAATATTTGTATTTTTGTATTTTTAGGTAGAGATGGGGTTTCACTATGTTGGCTAGGCTGGTCTCAAACTCCTGATCTCGGGTGATCCACCTACCTCTGCCTCCCAAAGTGCTGGGATTACAGGCATGAGCCACCACACCTGGCCTTTTACTTTCTTTTTTAAAGCAACTGTCTACAAGCCATTTTTTGTTTGTCTAGTCTTTTACCTTTTCTGTGTGTAGGCTTCTCGTCTGTAACTAGGCATAATACAGTAAGTCTTTAACCTATTAACATCATTGGTAGGTTCTTGGAAACTGCAACTTTAATCAAAATGACATAACAAAATAAATCATTTTTCTCATCAATGTTATAATGATAAGATGTTGAAGAAAATGATGTTATTTGAGGACCTGCTATATGTTGGTTCATTTAAAGTTAGAGTTTCCAAGAACCTATTAATGCCTTAAGTGAGGACTTTCTGTAATAGCTTTACTACTTACCCCACAAGGTTGTTGGGAAGATAACAGAAATAGGCTATAGTAATTCATAAAAATTTTCTGAGATTATAGGAAATAGAAAAGGAAGGTAAAGGAGAGAGATTGTGTGAAACATTTTACTTAACAAATAACTAGTGAAAAAAATAGCAAAGTTCTAGACCAGGAAGAGCCTCTAGGGGTGAATAGGGGAGCAGAGGACACATCAACATTTGTCCATGTTAAGGAGATCAAGCCTTATAATGAGGGAATTTTAGAATGAGCTAACCACGACTATAGAAAAGCAATGAGTAAACTGTGGTTATAAAAAGAAGTGGTGGTTTACCTGTAATCCCAGTACTTTGGGAGGCTGAGGTAGGAGGATTGCTTGATGCCAGGATGTTGAGACCAGCCTGGGCAACACAGCGAGACCTTGAGACCTTATCTCTACAAAAGGAAAGGAAAAATAAACTGGATGTGGTGGCACATGCCTATAGTGCTAGCTACTTGGGAGTCTGAGGTAGGAGGATCGCTTGAGCCAAGGAGTTTGTGGCTACAGTGTGTTAAGATTGCACCACTGTACTCCAACCTGGGTGAAAAGCAAGACCCTATCTCTGAAAAAAAAAAAAAAAAAAAGAGTATTTAAAGGCAAAGAGACAAAGTAACAAAGATACATGTTAAAAATGAGGGGTTTTGAATAATAGCGATACTGAAGTACTTAAGAAAAGACTGGAGAAACAAGGGAAGGGAATCAATGACAATTTTACTGTGTTTTTAAGAAACAGATGTCAGGCTGGGTGCGGTGGCTCAGGCTTGTAATCCCAGCACTTTGGGAGGCTGAGGTGGGTGGATCACAAGGTCAGGAGTTGGAGACAAGCCAACATGGTAAAACCCTGTCTCTACTAAAAATACAAAAATTTGCCAGGTGTGGTCATGTGCGCCTGTAATCCCAGCAACTCGGGAGGTTGAGGCAGGAGAATTGCTTGAACCTGGGAGGCAGAGGATGCAGTGGGCCAAGATCGTGCCACTGCATTCCAGCCTGGGACAAAGTGAGACTCCATCTCAAAAAAAAAAGAAAAGAAACAGATGTCACCTTTGGTATAGGTAGTGACAGTTCTCTTTTGTCTTTGGAGAAACTCTAGTTTTCTAAAGTGGCAGTGCTGTCCTTGATGGTGGAACAGATTCTGTTCTTTCTGTTTATTTTGAATCCGAGACTAGATTTTCTTTGCCAGTTTTGCTTACATGTCTAATTTTTAAGCAGAATTAGGAAATGAAAATTGGTTTTCAAGGATTTCCTCATCACTTTAGGGACATATCTGTTGTTCTAGATTGTGTTATGTCTTGCGGAACCAAAAAGTCTTTCCAGAATTAAACATGGTATCAGAGGCACCTTTGTTAGGGATAGAAACTTCATACATTTGAAAGAGTAAGCGTATTGGTAAATACTACTTTCCAGCTCTTAATGCCCTTTGTTTGGTTTCTTTTCCTCTGAATAGGTCACTGCAAATGACCTTCAGGAGAATATCACAAAGTTAAACAGTGGGATGGCTTTTATGATTAAACACTCCCAGAAACTTTTTAAGGTAGGTAAGGGATGGCATTTGGTTGGTAACAGGACAAAGAAAATGGAGCAAGGTGGGATCCTAAGTGGCGCTATAAAGATGGCTAAATGAGAAAAAGGTCCTGAATGGAATTGCAAACCAGAATGGACAGTGGCAAAACCCCGGGGAACAACTGCTATGGTGGAGAGGAATGGGAATAGGAGGCTGAGTAGGGCTGGTCCTCTGGGTAACTGGCTTCACTCTCTGAGCCTTTCTTCCTGTCTCGGCAGCTGAGTAGTTTTATCCTGCATGCATACTGCCAGTAGAATTTTGGGGATCATTTTGTACTCTTTGGCCCTTTCAATCAAAACAGGCTGTGTTTCTACTAACATAATTTTCTTAAGAACTTTGTAGGTCTTCTGTGGATTTCAGTGGAATTCATTCCATTAGACAAAGTCCACATGTACAAATCTTTTGCAGATAAATCTTTCCCTACCTTGATCACCTGCTGAGAAACCTTAGGGACAGTACCTTTAAGCTTCCTAAAGGCTTTCTGATTTGAGAGGATCTGTGAGGTATGCTCTTACTCTCCTGAAAGGGCCCTTTGTATGACTGAATACTCTGACCTTTTGATGTTTCTAAGGTTTTAGCAAAATGTAGCACAGTCACATCCTTGACCTTTTCTTTTGTGTATACTTCCTGATAGTGAATCTCTTAATTTTAGCATTTATTACTATTATTATTATTATTTTTTTTGAGAAAAGGTCTCACTCTGTTGCACAGGCTGGAGTGCAGTGGTGCAATCTTGGCTAGCTGTAGCTTCAACCTCCTGGGCTCAGGTGATCCTCCCACTTCAGCCTCCCCAGTAGCTGGGACCACAGGTGTGCACTGTCATGCCTGGCTGATTTTTGTATTTTTTGTAGAGACAAGGTTACACCATGTTGCCCAAGCTGGTCTTGAATTCCTGGGTTCAGTCCTCCTGCCTCAGCCTCCCAAAGTGCTGGGATTACAGGTGTGTGGCAATTTTAGCATCTTTTGCCATCTGGAGGGACTGAAAGTTTCCAAGATCATCCAGTTCTGGTTTCTTTTATTCTTGCAGTAAAATAATTATAAAATTTACCATCTTTGCCATTTTTAAGTGTATAGGTCCGTGGCATTAAGTACATTCACATTGCTGTGCAACCATTATCACTGTCCATTTCCAGAACTCTTTTCATCTTGTAAAATTGAAGCTCTGTACCCATTAAATAGTAACTCCCCTTAACCCTCTTCCTGTCCTTGGCAACCACCATTCCACTTTCTGTCTCTATGAATTTAACTACTCTAAGTACCTCATGTAAGTGGACTCATGTAGTGTTTGTCTTTCTGTGCCTGCCTTATTTACACTTAGCATAGTGTGCTCAAGGTTGATTCACACAGTAGCATGTGACAGGATTTCCTTCCTTTTTAAGGTTGCATAGTATTCCACTGTGTGTATATACCACATTTGCTTATCTGTTCATCAGTTGATGGACATCTCTCTATATTCCAGATATCATCTTTTATTAGCTATATGGACAAATATGTTCTCCTATTCTGTGGGTTACCTTTTTACTCTGTTGATAGTGTGTTTTGATGTGTAAATTTAAAAAATGTTCTTGAAGTCTAATTTGTCTATTTTTTCTCTTGTTGCCTGTGCCTTTGGTGTCATATCCGAGAAATCTCTGCCAAATCCATTGTCATGAAGCTTTTGCATTATGTAGTGTTGTAGTAAAGTTTGAAATCATCAAGTTTGAGTCCTCCAAGTTGGTTCTTCATTTTTAACATTGTTTTGGCTATTCAGGATGCCTTGAGATTCCATATGAATTTTAGGATGGATTTTCTATCTCTGCTGCACAAGACTTCATTGAGATTTTGTTTTCTTCTAAAAGTTTTATAGTGTTAGGTCTTGCATTTATGTCTTTGACCCATTTTGAGTTAATTTTTGTTTCTGGTGTTAGGTAAGAGTCCAACCTCATTCTTTTGCATGTGGTTAGATGGTTTTCCCAGCACCATTTGTTGAAGAAACTGTCCTTTCTCCTTTGGTCTTCATCCTCTTATTGAAAAACATTTGAATATATATGTAAGGGTTTATTTCTAGCTTTCTAGTCTATTCCATTGGTCTACTTATCTGACTTTATACCAGTACCTTGCTGTTGTGATTAGTAGTGTTGTAGTAAAGTTTGAAATCAGCAAGTTTGAGTCCTCCAAGTTGGTTCTTCATTTTTAACATTGTTTTGGCTATTCAGGATGCCTTGAGATTCCATATGAATTTTAGGATGGATTTTCTATCTCTGCTGCACGAGACTTCAATGAGATTTTGATGTTTTTCTAAGGTTGATAGGTTGAATTTGTAGATTGCCTTGAGTAGTATTGACATCTTAGCAATCGTATCCAGTAATGAACATGGGATATCTTTTCATTTATTTATGTTTTCTCTAATTCCTTTCAGCAGTATTTTATAGTTTTCATTATACAGTAGTTCCCTTTTATCCATGGGGGATATGTTTCCAAGCCCCAAGTACATGCCTGAAACTGTGGCTAGTACCGAACCCTGTATGTATACTATGCACGGATTTCTTTCTTCTTCTTCACAATTTCACAGATAGAAGATTTATTCTTATAGAGGATCTTAGTAACCTCAGCATATGATTGTTTGGTCAACTTTTATTGACATATTATATTTGTACATATTTATGGGGTATATGTGATATTTGTTACCTGCATTAAATGTGCAGTGATCACAGTGTATGTAGAATATCCATCACCTTGAATAGATGTCATTTCTATGTGTCCCCTCTTCTAGTTATTTTGATATATACCATACGTTGTTGTTAGCTATAGTTACCCTGCTTTGCTATTGAATGTTAGAGATGTATTTCTTCTGTCTCACTATATATTTGTACCCATTGACCAACCGCTCTTTACCCTAACGCCTAACATCTATCCCAGCATCTGGTAACTATTTTTCTACTCCCTACCTCCATTAGATCAATTTATTTTTCTTTTCTTCTTTTCCCTCACCATGAGGTCCACTCTTTTTTTAGACAGAGTTTTTATTCTTGTTATCCTGGCTGGAGTGCAGTGGTGAGATCTCGGCTTACTGCAGCCTCCATCTCCCGGGTTGAAGCAATTCTCCTGCCTCAGCGTCTTGAGAAGCTGGGATTATAGGCATGTGGCACTACACTGGACTAATTTTTGTATTTTTGGTAGAGGCAGGGTTTCACCATGTTGGCCAGGGTAGTCTTGAACTCCTGACCTCAAATGATCTGCCCACCTTGGCCTTCCAAAGTACTGGGATTATCTGTGTGAGCCACCACACCCTGCCTGAGATCCACTTTTAGCACCCACATATGAGTGAGAACATGTGATATTTGTCTTTCTGTGCCTGGTTTATTTCACTTAACATAATAGCCTCCAGTTCCATCCATGTTGCTGCAAATGACAGGATTTCATTCTTTTTATGGCAGAATAGTGTTTCATTGTGTATATACATGACATTTTCTCTATCATTCAACCATTGATTCCATATCTTTGCTATTGTGAATAGTGCCACAGTAAACATGGGGATGCAGGTATTCCTTTGAAAACTGATTTTCTTTCCTTTGAATAAATATCCAGTAGTGAGATTGCTATATTTTATGGTAGTTCTATTTTTGATTTTTTGAGAAATTTTCATACTGCTTCCCATAATGGCTATTCTAATTTACATTCCCACCAACAGTGTATAAGAGTTCTCTTTTCTTCACATCCTCATCAGCATCTATACTTTTTTATTTTTTTTCAGACAGTCTTACCCAGGCTGGAGTGTGGTGGTATGATCACAGCTCACTGGCTCAAGTGATCCTCCTACTGAGCCACCTGAGTGTCTGGGACCACAAGTGCATGCCACCACACCTGGCTAGTTTTTAATTTTTTGTAGAGATAAAATCTTGCTATGTTCCTGCTTTATCATTTTTTCTAAAATTCTTCCTATTACTACTTTTGTCCTCTACTTTTATCAGCCCATCTGACTCAGTCTGGTTTTATCTCGCCCAACACCGCATCTTTTCCTAGGGATTTATCATGCATATACAGTTAAGGCCAATTTTCATTTTACTTGAGCAGTCCTTTTGTTGTTTCTCTATGAATTGTAAAATGCTTATGACCTCAGATTTTCATGTAAGCCTATTTGTCTAAGCCTGGCTCCCTTTCTGGATGTTCTTTTAGCTCATAGTGTCTTTGGGGATGGTGGTTTTTTTTGTTCCTCCCCTCCCCTTTCCTCCCCTGCCAACAAATGTTATCATTTTGCCATATTAGCTTTATTGCTCAATATGTATGTTCATACTTTTTTTGGCTGAATCACTAAAAGTAATTGCAGATACCATGATACTTTCTTCCTAAGTACTTAAGTTTGCATCTCCTAATAATTAAAATATTCTCTTAAGAACCATACTACTCTTATCACATCTAAGAAACGAACAAAAATTTCGTATCATCTAACTTTCAGTACATATTCAAATTCCCCAGCTGTCCTAAGAATGTATTTCATGCTTTTTTTCAACATGTGCCAATCAGAGTTTCTGTGCTGCTTTTGATTATTATGACACTTTTATTCTGCACACTCATGCTTTTTCTTCATGTCATTGATTTGTTGAAGCAACAAGTTAACTGTGTTGTAGAATGTCCACATTCTAAATTATTGTTTTCTCAAGTTATTTAACGTGTTCTTGTATCACCTTCCATGTAGTTCCTGTAAACTAGAAGCTAGGTCTAGAGTCTTAATTAGATTTAGATTCAGCATTTTTGGCAAAGATACTTCAAAGGTGAAGTTTGTGTGTATCCCATTGCCTCACATGAGGAGGCACAGATTGTTCCATTTTCTCACTCTTCATGACAGTAATTTTGCTAACTGCCAGATCTTTCAGTTATAAAGGTACATTTTTTTTCCCTTTGCAATTAGTAAATAACCTGTGAAGTGATTACCTGATAATGGTTTTAGCATTCATTGATAATCCTGCTGGAATCTATGATTACGTTGGGTATTAAAAATAACAGTTTTCTAATTTTGTCATTCAGCCTTTATTAGCTGACTCTCTTCTTTGGATAATAGCTTTTCTTTGTCTCATTCTCTCTCTCTCTTTAAAAATGAATATTAATATAAACTCATGGATTTTAATTGTTTCAAAGTGTTAGTTTTGTTTTTAATGTTGATATTTGCATGGGCAATGCGGTGAAACCCCATCTCTGCCAAAAATACAAAAAATTAGCTGGGCATGACAGCACGGTCCTGTGGTCCCAGCTACTCGGAGGCTGAGGTGGTAGGATGGCTTGAGTGCAGGAGGTGGAGGTTGCACTGAGCTGAGATTGTGCCACTGCACTCCAGCCTGGGTGACAGAGTGAGACCCTGTCACAAACAAACAAACAAACAAAATTGATATTTAAATCATCCCAGATTTGGCCAGTGATAACCCTTGTTAAGCCGCTTCTGCATCTTTTTGACAGGACTATATTATCTTTGACTATTTCCTTTCTGGTATAAAATGTTCCCAGCTCACTTTGTACTTATGCTGGCCTAGATCTGGAGTAATTTTTCTCCAGGGAACCTTGGTTTCTGAGTGACACTAGGAATACTCATTGTTTCTGGTGTGTCATTGCTTCTAGGCTCCTTGAGGACAAAGAAATAGATTAAAAAATTTTTTTAAAGCAATTGTAAATTTATATTAATACCACTAATTCAGATGTAATACTACAGAACTTTTTCTTGGCTTCTTTCTTTCTTATATTGTAAATTTCAGTTTTTTTTTCTTTTTTTTTGGAGAGTTTTGCTCCATCACCCAGGCTGGAGTGCAGTAGTACCATCTGGGCTCATAGTAGCCTCTGCCTCCTGGGACCAACTAATCCTCCCAACCTCAGCTTCTTGAGTAGCTGGGTCCACAGGTGAGCACCACCACCACTGGCTAATTTTTGTATTTTTTGTAGAGATGGGGTTTTACCATATTGCTCAGGCCGGTCTCAAACTCCTAGACTCAAGTGATCCATCCACTTTGGCATCCCAAAGTGCTGGGATTACAGGCATGATCCTCTGTGCCCAGCCAAATTTTAGGTTTTAATGGCATTTGTATATATTATTTACTCTGTCCTACAATATACTTAAATTAATTTAAAAATAATGCACTGTTATTACTAACAGTAAACCTATATAAGTTTGCTTATTGAAGTTTAAGATATTCCTTCAATTCCTTTTTTCTTGAATATATCCCACTAAGGATATACAATCAGAATTCAGTTTTCTTTTCTTTTTTTTTTTGGAGACAGAGTTTCACTCTTGTTGCCCAGGCTAGAATGCAATGGGACGATCTTAGCTCACCACAACCTCTGCCTCCCAGGTTCAAGCGATTTTCCTGCTCCAGCCTCCCGAGTAGTTGGGATTATAGGCATGTGCCACCATGCTCAGCTATTTTTGTATTTTTAGTAGAGAAAGGGTTTCTCCATGTTGGTCAGGCTGATCTTGAACTCCCGACTTCAGGTGATCTGCCTGCCTCAGCCTCCCAAAGTGCCAGAATTACAGGTGTGAGCCACCGTGCCTGGCTCAGAATACAGTTTTCAAAAGTTATATGAGATGATTTCTTTCTCTGTGCTCACATTGTCAGTTTGATATACAGATATATATATTTTTTCCTGTTGGTGTTCGGTTTTAGGTCTTGCCTTTTTTTTTTCTTTTGGATTTAATTTTATGTTTTAAATCTGTAGTGTAAACATGGTTCAAAAGTTAAAAACACATTAAAAGGTATACTTAGAGAAATCTCAATTCTTTTCCTAACCATTTTCATTGTTTTCTCGTTTATCCTCTTAGTGTTTCTTTTTTTTTAAATTTATCACCTATTCAGAGAATAAGTGTTTCTTTTTACAAAAACAAGTAAATGTATATTTCTGCATATATTCCTATTTCCCTACTTTTCTTATACAAATAAACGTTTACTTACTTTTCTCACTAAACAGTAGATCCTAGAAGTCCCTCCATATCAGTTCATTAAGTGTTTCTTCCTTCCCTTCATCCTTTTTCTCTTCCTCCCTTTCTTTCTTTTCTTTCTTTCCTTTTCCTTCCTTTCTTTCCCTCCCTGCCTCCTTTTCCTTCCTTTCTTCATAGTACTGTATTGTATGGATATATGAAAGTTGATTCAACCAGTCCCTATTAAAGAACATATAGGTTGTATCCAATTTTTTAATTAATTTTTTACAAGTGTGTTTTGCATTTCTGGAGTTACATACTCAGAATATGTAACCAGAAGTGAGGTTTCTGTGTGAAAGGAATGATGCGATTTTATTAGATGTTACCTACCCAGTTTTCCTCTGTGGTAGTTGTATTATTTTGTACATCTACTAAGACAATATCAGGGTAGTTGTCACAGGATTCTAATCCATAGTAATTCTAAATGGTATTTTCTTTCTTTCTTTTTTTTTTTGAGACAGAGTCTTGCTCTATTGCCCAGGCTGGAGTGCAGTGGTATGAACATGGCTCAATGCAGCCTTGAACTTCTGGACTCAAGTGATTCTCCCACCTTAGCCTCCTGAGTAGCTGAAACTACAGGCATGCACCACCATGCCTGGCTGATTTTTTTTTTTTTTTTTGAGATGGAGTTTCGCTCTTGTTGCCCAGGCTGGAGTGCAATGATGCGATCTTGGTTCACTGCAACCTCTGTGTCCTGGGTTCAAGCATTTCTCCTGCCTCAGCCTCCCGAGTAGCTGGGATTACAGGCATATACTACCATGTCTGGCTAATTTTGTATTTTTAGTAGAGACTGGGTTTCACCAGGTTGGGCAGGCTGGTCTCGAACTCCTGACCTCAGGTGATCTGCCCACCTTGGCCTCAAAGTGCTGAGATTACAGGTGTTAGCCACTATGCCTGGCCATTTTTTTATAATTTTTTGTAGAGATGGGGGTCTCCTTGTGTTGCCCAGGCTGGTCTTGAACTCCTGGGGTGAAGCAATCCTTTTGTTTCTGCCTCCCAAAGTACTGAGATTACAGATGTTAAACGATATTTTCTACACTGTGATTTTAAATTGTGATCTGGACACCATTTGTAATTTGTAAGGATTTGAGGGGGTGGTTTTTGTCAGATATAAATATTCCTACAAATGTCTATATTTTTGTCTTTGGCTTATTTGATAATATACATGCTATGTTTGATTTTTAAAGCAGCAACAATTACATTGATGTCTTCTCACAGTTTTTCCATCAGATTTGTTGAGGTATCTATTTGATGGCAAGAGAAAGAAGTTACGGAAAAGCTATGAATTTTGAGTATCTTTGACTTTTCTAAAGTAATCTGCTGTTCAAATGATTTTAAGAACCATTGTTATATACTACTAATCACTGAGTTTGGGTTTTCTTTTATGTCCTGCCCAGGCTCCTGCTTACATTCGGGATGGTGCCAGATTGCACTATTTGGGATCCAGAACTCAGGCATCCAAGGTAAGAATAGGATCTGCTCTTAACCCAAACAAGGAGAGCGTTAAGATTGGTGGAGTTTTAAAACTAAGTATGAAGTCAAAGTAAAAGCATGGAAAATAAGAAGTTTTTAGCGTTTAGCTATTTTGTCATAATGAAGAAGACTAAGAAATAAGTTATGTGTTAGAATACAAATGCTTCACATTCAAGGTGTGGTAGCTTAGGCCTGTAATCCCAGTGACTCTGGAGGCTGAGATGGGAGGCTCGACTGAACCTAGGAGTTCAAGTCTGCAGTGAGCTGATTGTGCCACTGCACTCCAGCCTGGGTAGCACATCCAGACCCTGTCTCTTAGAGAAAAAAAAAGCTCCCCACACACTATTTTTATCTGCTTTCAGAGGTTCCACTAATAGATGGTATCCTCTGCATAAGAGTGATCACACAGACCTTGTGTTTAAAGTTTTTTTCTTTTTTCTTCTTTTTGAGATGGAGTTTCGCTCTTGTTACCCAGGCTGGAGTGCAATGGCGCGATCTTGGCTCATGACAACCTCCGCCTCCTGGGTTCAGGCAATTCTCCTGCCTCAGCCTCCTGAGTAGCTGGGATTACAGGCACGAGCCACCAGGCCAAGCCAATTTTTGTGTTTTTTTTAGTAGAGACAGGGTTTCACCATGTTGGTCAGTCTGGTCTTGAACTCCAGACCTCATGATCCTCCCGCCGTGGCTTCCCAAAGTGCTAGGATTACAGGCGTGAGCCACTGCGCCCGGCCTCTGCGCCTTTTTAAATAAACTTCTACTCCTGCTCTGAAAAAAAAAAAAAAGTAAAAAACAAACCAAAAAAAAAAAGAAAAAAAAAGTGAGAAGTTAAAAACTTTACAAGCACTTTTTAAGTACTTAAAATTTTCAAGTTCTAGTTATCCTGTCTTGGTTAGAAACTTAAGTTGTCCACTTGTGGTATTTTTTTCTGCTCCGATTTGTTTTTCCCTCTTGTTCTGCAAATATTCAGTGTGACCAGGAAAACAGTGTTTGATTTCAACTAGTTTAATTGGATTTTGATTTTTCTTAGAGAGCTGTTTGTGTTCCTCTAGCATTGCTCTCTAGTTGTCATATTAAATTTTCATGTGTGGGAAGGAGTACTAGCCAAGAGTCAGAGCCCTTGGGCTCTCAGGTGGGTCTGTCACTTTAGTATCCAGACGACTTTATTTTTACTTTTTAAAAATTTAATTTAATTTAATTTTTTGAGATGGAATTTTGCTTTTGTTGCCCAGGCTGGAGTGTAATGTTGTGATCTTGGCTCACCACAACCTCTGTCTCCTGGGTTCAAGTGATTCTTCTGCCTCAGCTCCTGAGTAGCTGGGATTACAGGCATTCGCCACCACACCCAGCTAATTTTATATTTTTAGTAGAGACAGAGTTTCTCTGTGTTGGTCAGGCTGGTCTTGAACTCCCTACCTCCTTTGGTCATGCCTGCCTTGACCTCTCAAAGTGCTGGGATTACAGGCATGAGCCACCGCACCCGGCCTCAGATGACTTTAAACTTAAAGTTTAACCTGTTTTTTTCTCCTCTATCAGATGGGAATCATGATACTTTCCCTGCTTACCTTATTGAATAGCAGTGAAAATTAATGAAATTAAAAGATGATTTTAAAACTGAACTCTTACACAAATATTACTCTTGGTGGCACTATTATAAATGCACTTAGGTTCTCTGGGCAGGTCATGGGAATGGTCTATTAATATAACCTATATTAATAGGTTCCTTGTTGTCTGATAATAGTGTTAAGATTTTTCTTGTTCCTGAGTATAGGAGTATACCATGTCCCCGCTTACCTTTTTTTTGTTCCAGGTTTTTGTAAGAACCCTAAAACAAAGTTGGCAGGATATATCAAGTTACTCTTCTTTTAAATTTTCTTTAGGATGACCTTGACCTGATAGCTTCATGTCATACTAAGTCCTTTCAGCTTTCAAAGTCTCAGAAGCGGAACTGGATAGATTCCTGCCCTCACCAGGAGGAGACCCAGCAGCATACGGAAGAGGCACTGAGAGAGTTGTTTCAACATGTTCACAATATGCCAGAGTCAGCAAAGAAGAAACAACTTATTAGACAGGTGCCTGAAGGCAGGGAAGTCATGATTGGGGCTTTAGGAATGTAATCGTGGTTGTAGAATCAGTAAGTCATATTGTTAAGAATCTCATTTTATTTTTGGCTTAGCCAAGAAAGCAGCCTTGTCTGTGGAATCTCCATGGTGATCTCTGTGCTATTGCCCCAGTAGAGAAAGGAGTGGAGGCTTGTGCATTTCTGCAGTTAACAGGAAGATCCAAGTGTGGTTAGAGTGTCTCTAATTTTGGTCATGTCCCAGGTTTGCTGAGAGAGGACCAGCAGTTACAATATATTATTCCAAAGTGTAAACCCTCCAGATTTTCTTAGCAAATAACTTTTATGAGTTTCAGTTTTCTTGTTTGTAAAATGGTAATAGTAACATGAAAAATTGTAAGTTGTAAAAATTAGAGGTAATCTATATAGGGTGGCTGGCATGGCAAACCCTAACTGGTAGCTTTTTATTAACAGAGTTGTTTGCAGTTAGAAAACACAATAAATCAGGGCCCTAGTCTGATACTAGAAAGCAGGAATTCTGTGGCTAAGTTTGTTTATGCTGGAGCTATGGGAACAAAATTTGCTATTTTGGGATTCAAAGTGTGGTATGTAAGTCCTGTGACTTTGGGTAGTTTCTTTCTCAGGAGATTAATTTTGTCTCATCCCTTCTAGAATTTTACCTGAACGGGCAGGGTCAGCGTCTTGACTTTTTATTCAACTGGGACTTTACTGTTTTTATTTATTTTATACCTACTCTCAGCATAAGGCCAGGTGTAAACAAGTACTCAGATAATGGTGAACTGAGCTTTTCTTAAGAATTGACAAAGTCATTTAAGAGAAGTTTCTGCCACTCTCTTTGAAGTTACTTTGAGACCTAGCAAATTATGTTACAACTGGAATTTTACAGGGTGTTGGCTGAGTATTGGTGCAGATTCAAACCAGTCTAGTGATTTAATTCTTGATAGCAGCTGAGTAGTTTCATGCAGGACAGGTATAACGACTTCTTTCAACAAGAACACTGAGACTTAAAGATAAGAAAGAAAAAAACATTTTGCACTTTTTAAGAAAAACAGAAAGTATGTGGTGTATACTTTTTTTTTTTTTTTGAGTCTGTTGCCCAGGCTAGAGTGCAGTGGCACAAGCATGGCTCACTGCAGCCTCAACCTCCCTGGGCTCAGGTGATCATGATCCTCCCACCTCAGCCTCTCGAGTAGCTGAGACTACAGTTACATGCCACCATGCCTGGCTAATTTTTTGTATTTTTTTTTTTTTTTTTGAGATAGAGTTTTGCTGTTGCCAGACTAGAGTGCAATGGCACGATCTTGGCTCACCGCAACCTCCGCCTTCTGGGTTCAAGCGATTCTCCTGCCTCAGCCTCCCGAGTAGCTAGGACTACAGGTGCGCACCACCATGCCCAGTTAATTTTTGTATTTTTAGTAGAGACGGGGTTTCACCTTGCTGACCAGGATGGTCTTGATCTCTTGACCTCGTGATCCACCCGCCCCGGCCTCCCAAAGTGCTGGGATTATAGGTGTGAGCCCCTGCGTCTGGCCAATTTTTTGTATTTTTAGTGTCATGTACTTTTTAATATGCATTTTTAAAAGACTCTGGATACACCTTGCTCAATACCTTCCCAGAACATTTTGCCAGTTAACGCTCCCTTGAGTTGGATATGAGAGAATTTATCTCATTGTACCTTTGCCAATTTAAGGAACGATGGGTTTTTACTTGTCCCAATGTGTTCAGTAGGGGTACTTACTAGCTAAGCTCTTTAGAGGTGGCTAATTTTTCTGCCTGCCAAGGTAATTAACTTTAAGAACCTCTTGGTACCTTTATATAAAATTAATTTTTTAACCTCCAGAACTTGAACTGATAAAATTTCTAAATTTTTTTTTTTTGAGACGGAGTTTCGCTCTTATTGCCCAGGCTGGAGTGCAATGGGGTGATCTTGGCTCACCGCAGTCTCCGCCTCCTGAGTTCAATCAATTCTCCTGCTTCACCTCCCAAGTAGCTGAAATTACAGGTGTGTATCACCACGCCTGGCTAACTTTGCATTTTTTTTTTTTATAGTAGAGACGGGGTTTCTCCATGTTGGTCAGGCTGGTCTCAAACTCCTGACCTCAGGTCATCCGCCCACCTTGGCCTCTCAAAGTGCTAGAATTATAGGTGTGAGCCACTGCTCCTGGCCCCAAATTTTTACACTACTGAAATTTTAGGAGCATAATAAGAAAAGGTAGAAGAGACTGGGTGTGGTGGCTTATGCCTGTAATCCTAGGACTTTGGGAAGATTAGATGGGTGGATCACTTGAGGCCAGGAGTTTGAGACCAGCCTGACCAACACAGTGAAACCCCATCTCTACTAAAAATAGAAAAAAATTAGCTGAGTGTGGTGGTGCATGCCTGTAATATCAGCTATTCAGGAGGCTGATGCATGAGAATCGCTTGAACTCTTGGAGGTGGATGTTGCAGTGAGCCGAGATCGCACTACTGCACTCTAGCCTGGGCAACAGAGTGAGACTGTGTCTCCAAAAAATTAAAAATAAATAAATAAATAAACAGAAAAGGCAGAAGAGTAGAAGAATTAAATGTTATATTATTAGTACTTTTTAAGTGGGAAATGAATGGCTAATCAAAGCATTGAATAAGATTATTCAGTGCATTGGGGCTTCCCGTTTTCCACTTTAGATACCTCCAGAGAATTGATAGGATGACAGGTCTGCATTCTGATGTATTTCCTCTGATGATATTGTTGGCAGGCAGTCATGACAGATAGTAACTTAATAAGATTCTGTATATAGTTTGTGTTAAATTAGGAACTGTTTTAGATTGTGTCAGTAACTCTTTGTGTCCAAGATGCTCTGTTGCAAAAAAGTCTTGGTTAGCAGCTGGGGATCTTGGGTAGATTTCATAAGCTCTCCTCCAAGTCTCAGTTGTTTTTTTTTTTTTTTTTTTTGAGACGGAGTTTTGCTCCTTTTGCTCAGGCTGGAGTGCAGTGATACAATCTCGGCTCAATGCAACCTCTGCCTCCCGGGTTCAAGTGATTCTTCTGCCTCAGCCTCCCATGTAGCTAGGATTACAGGCATGCGCCACCATGCCAGGCTAATTTTGTTTTTTGGTAGAGATGGAGTTTCTCCATGTTGGTCAGGCTGGTCTCAAACACCTGACCTCAGGTGATCCACCTGACTTGGCCTCCGAAAGTGCTGAGATTGATTACAGGTGTGAGCCACTGTACCTGACCAAAGTCTCAGTATTTTTGTCTGTAAAATAGGAACAGTAATTCCACATTCAAGGAATGTGGCGTGCAGAGCCTCTCAGAGCAATTGAATCCATTTTGGCATCATTGCTTCTGATTTGCTTGTTGATTTCCTAATCTACCTATGTGCAGGCTCACTTTTTCCTGGACTTTTATTTACGCTTAGCTATTGGTTGTCACAGAATGCTATGTCCTGTTGGAAAAATATTTATAAATGTTGTCTATGTTTTCTTTTAGTTTAATAAGCATTCACTGACCCAGACACCAGGGCGAGAGCCTTCTACTTACCAGGTACAAAAGAGGGCCCGTTCGCGCTCCTTCAGTGGGCTTATTAAGGTAGGTATTCTGGGCTGTCGTTTTTAGCGTTGCATTTTAGGAAATGTAACACTGATTTTTTTAAATGCATAAACAATTTTCTTGTATTTTTTTTGTGGGGGGATCCTATAAAGGACTAATTTTTTTTTAAAATGATTCAGTCTCCATAGAGACTGCAGAAAATTGCCAATGCCAACTATATTTCAAGTCGTCATGGTGGGGTATTGGGAAAAGTTTTTAATTAGCAATAATCATGCCTCGGAGAAACCTCATTGGCTACGATACTGCTACTGCGCAAAGCTGGGCTAATTTATAAGAGGGTAAAGATAGAATGTGGAAAAGCTTTTATTTTTCTTTTTTTTTGAGATGTAGTTTCACTTTTGTTGCCCAAGTTGGAGTGCAATGGTGAAATTTTGGCTCACTGCAGTCTCTGCCTCCTGGGTTTGAGCAATTCTCCTGCTTCAGCCTCCCAAGTAGCTAGGGTTACAGGTGCATGCCACCATCCTTGGCTAATTTTTTGTATTTTTAGTAGAAACAGCGTTTTGCCATGTTGCCAGGCTGGTCTCGAACTCCTGACCTCAGGTAATCCACCCGCCTCAACCTCCCAAAGTGCTGGGATTACAAGTGGGAGCCACTGTGCTGGCCTTTATTTTTCAAAGTGCTTTACTGTGTTTTGAATCAGAGAAGGGGCTCTATGAAGTGAGGAGTAATAGAAATAAGGGTCCTTCCTTTTCTTCTAGGGCTGAGGACAGTGTCCGTATTCCTGAGCAGTGTATGGGGTCTCTTTTGTTTTCTGACCAGCCCTTGGAGAAGTGAGGAAGCTGATACAGACTAGAGAAACTGTTAGAAAACTGGATTTTCTAATAGGCTAGTGAGTTTTGATACCCCAAATTTTTGTGAGCTTAATATTTTTAACAGTTGTTGTACTTTCTTCCATGTATCAAATTCAGTGAAAGTCTTGTTTTTAAAACAAATCCAAAAATAGGCTTTCATGTTATTGCTTCTATTACCATGTTTGCAGATTAAATGCACAAGTCTTCAGACAATTGGAACTTGTAGTGAAGGAATTTTGCCATCAGGTGGCAGTAGGTAACTTGCTCATGAGGTTAAAATTTCCATGCATGTACTAAGGCAAGGTTTTGGTTAACTTGGAGAGACATTAGTACTATTCACTGCTTTTCTTTTCTGTTTTTCTTCTTTGGAAGAGATTGCTGCCCCAAAAGCACTGAGTACCTTTTTTTTTTTTTTTTTTTTTAATTTTAGTTCTGGGGTACAGGTGCAGGATGTGCAGGTTTGTTATGTAGATAAATGTGTGCTATGGTGGTTTGCTGCACTTGTCAGCCCATCACCTAGGTATGAAGCTCAGCATGCATTAGCTATTTTTCTTTAAAAAATTTTTTTGAGACAGAATCTCACTCTTGTCGCCCAGGCTGGAGTGCAATGACACAGTCTCGGCTCACTGTAACCTCTGCCTCTCAGGTTCAAGCAATTCTTCTGCCTCAGCCTTCCAAGTGGCTGGGATTACAGGTGTCTGCCACCATGCCTGGCTAATTTTTGTCTTTTTAGGGTGTTTCACCATATTGGCCAGGCTGGTCTCGAACTCCTGACCTCAGTGATCTGCCCGCCTCAGCCTCCCAAAGTGCTGGTATTACAGGTGTAAGCCACTGTGTCTGGCCAGCTGTTTTTCTTAATACTCTCCTTTCCGCCATCCAGCCCTCCAGTAGGCCTCAGTATGTGTTGTTCCCTTCCCTGTGTCCATGTGTTCTCATTGTGTAGATCCCATTTTTTTTTTTTTTTTGGAGATGGAGTCTCACTCTGTCATCCAGGCTGGAGTGCAGTGGCTTGATATCACTGCAACCTTAGCCTCCCAGGTTCAAGCTATTCTCCTGCTTTAGCCTCCCGAGTAGCTGGGATTACAGGTGCCTGCCGCCATGCCTGGCTAATTTTTGTATTTTTAGTAGAGATGGGTTTCACCATGTTGGCCAGGCTGGTCTCAAACTCCTGACCTGAAGTGATCCACCTGCCTCAGCCTTGCAAAGTGCTGGGATTACAGGCCTGAGCCACCATGCCCGGCCAACTCCCACATATAAGTGAGAATATGCAGTGTTTTGTTTTCTGTTCCTGTGTTAGTTTGCTGAGAATAATGGCTTCTTTTTATTTTAACTTTCGGTGTTTCACACTGCTTTTTTAAAAAAAATGTTGTTTTGTCATTATTAAGATATATAATTTCAGGAACATGAGGAGCTCTTTGCTTAAAATTTAAAATTTTTGCCCTAAAAAATAAATAACTTGTAATATTATTTATTTATTTATTTTCGAGACAGGGTCTTGCTCTGTTGTCCAGGCTGAAGTACAAGTGGCACCATCATGGCTTATTGTAGCATTGATCCCCTGGGCTCAGCAGTCCTCCTACTTCAGCCTCCAAAGTAGCTGGGACCACAAGTGCATGCCATCATGCCTAGGTGATTTTTAAATGTTTGTAGCCTGGGCGCAGTGGCTCATGCCTGTAATCCCAGCACTTTGGGAGGCAAAGGCAGGCAGATCACTTAAGGTCGGGAGTTCGAGACCAGCCTGACCAACATGGAGAAACTTCGTCTCTAATGAAAATACAAAATTAGCCAGCCATGGTGGTGCATGCATACAATCCTAGCTACTTGGGAGGCTGAGGCAGGAGAATTGCTCGAACCAAGGAGGCGGAGGTTGCGGTGAGCTGAGATCGCAATATTGCACCCCAGCCTGGGCAAAACTCTGTCTTAAAACAACAACAACAATAACAATGAACTGTTTATAGAGATGGGGTCTTGCTGTGTTGCTGGTCTTTTTTTGTTTTTTTGAGACAGAGTCTTGCTCTGTCCCTGAGACTGGAGTGCAGTGGCATGATCTCACCTCACTGCAACCTCCACCTCCGTGGTTCAAGCGATTCTTCTACCTCAGCCTCCTGAGTAGCTGGGATTACAGGTGTCTGCCACCATGCCTGGCTAATTTTCTGTATTGTTAGTAGAGATGTGGTTTCATCATGTTGGCCAGGCTGGTCTTGAACTCCTGGCCTCAGGTGATCCACCTGCCTTGGCCTCCCAAACTGCTGGCATTACAGGCATGAGCCACCATGCCCAACCTGTGTTGCTAGTCTTGAATTTCTGGGCTCAAGTGATCTTCCTGCTTTGGCCCCCTAAAGTGCTGGGATTACAGATGTGAGCCACTGTGCCTATAATTTTTTTAAAGTTAGCATTTAAGAATTCCTCTTACTGTAATTTTGGTCCTAGTTATAATTTATAGATATCTAGAATTCATTCTCAATCCTGACCTCCTGGGACATTAGGCTTACTTGACATCAGAATTTCCTTTGCCATCAACAGAGTGAAAAGGCAACCCCTGGAATGGGAGAAAATATTTGCAAATCCTATATATGATTAGGTATTAATATCCATAATAATCCAAAGAACTCCTATAACTCAGCACAGTAAAAACAACCTCATTAAAAAGTAGATAAAGGCCGGGCGTAGTGGCTTTCACTTGTAATCCCAGCATTTTGGGAGTCTGAGGTGGGCAGATCATGAGGTCAGCAGATTGAGACCATGCTGGCTAATGCGGTGAAACCCCATCTCTACTAAAAATATGAAAAATTAGCCAGGCGTGGTGGCACATACCTGTAGTCCCAGCCACTCTGGGGGCTGAGACAGGAGAATCGCTTGAATCCAGGATGTGGAGGTTGCAGTGAGCTGAAATTGCACCACTGCACTCCAACCTGGGTGACAGAGCGAGACTCTGTCTCTTAAAAAAAAAAAAAAAAAAAGTGGTCAAAGGACTTAAATAGACATTTCTCCAGAGAAGATGTACATATGGCCAAGGAACACGTGAAAAGATGTTCAACATCGCTATACTCCTGGTATATACCCAAAAGAATTGAAAGCAGGGTCTTGAGGCAATATTCATACACCTGTATTCATAGCAACGTTATTCACAATAGCCAAAAGGCAGAAGCAACCCAACTGTCTATTGACAGATGAATGGATAACAAAATTTGGATATACAGATAATGGAACATTATTTGTCCTTAAAAGGGAAGGAAATTCTTACATATTCTACAACCTGGATGAATCTTGAAGACATTATGCTAAGAGAAATCATCTAGTCATAAAAGGAAGAATATTGTATGATTCCACTGAGGTGCCTACAAGTCAAGTTCATAGAGACAGAAAGTAGAGAAGGTGGTTGGTTGTCAGGGGAGCTAAGAGGTTGAGGAGAATGGGGAGATATTATTTAATGGGTACAGTATTTCTGTTTGGGAGGATGAGAAAGTTCTGAAGATGGTTGATGGTGATGGTTGCACAATACTGTGAATATACTTAATACCACTGAACTATATATTTAAAAATGGGTAAAATGGTAAATGTTATGTATATTTTATCATTGTTAAAAAAAGTTCTCTTAACTAGAATTCTAAAAGTGCATTTACCTGCTTAGACAGAGTAGTAAAATGAACATTCTTAATTTACTCTTGTTCTTTTTCTTCTCAATTGGAAGAATCTGTCATTCCCTCTGACTTCCCTGTCATAGAGAATTGATAATCAGAAAAGTTATAGTCAGATAAGTGTTTCTCTGTGTGTTAGTCTTTTTATTTATTTATTATTTATTTATTTTTTGTGAGACAGAGTCTCACTGTGCTGTATAGACTGGAGTGCAGTGGCATGATCTCAGCTCACAGCAACCTCCACTTCCCTGATTCAAGTGATTCTCATGCTTTGGCCTCCTGAGTAGCTGGGATTATAGGCATGTGTCACCTTGCCTGCTTAATTTTTGTATTTTTAGTAGAGACAGTATTTCACCATATTGACCAGGCTGGTCTCGAACTCCTGGCCTCCCAAAGTACTGGGATCACAGGATGAGCCACTGTGCCTGGCCTAAAATATTATTTTTAATTTGTGTTTTCACTCAGCCTTATCAAGGTATAATTGACCATCTAGCCTGTCTCGATCCCTTTTTGGTTAGAGGTTTTTCCTCCAGAACTTCTCTCATGTCAATTATTTATTAAATCAGGGTGTTCTGAATATTGCTGCTAGTATTTATAATGTAGGGTTTAATGTTCTAGTTTTGAGATGTTCTTTTTTTGGAATTCAAATTTATTCTCTAAGGGAGAATAAGGAAAGATTTCTCCAAAGATGGTAGAATTGTCACTGTCAGCGGTTACGTAAATTACATCATCTTTTAAGCTGTTCAGAGATGAAAGGGCTTTTAGTCTTGCTCTGCATGTCAGTATAGTCATGTGACCCCCTTAAGAAGGCCTCTCTACCTTCTTGTGGCTTTATTAGGAACTCTTAGAGAATGTCTCCGAATGTTCCAGTCCTGTGTGAGGAAGTGACAGGGAGGAAAAAGTAGAAGAGCCAGCCTAAGTATCCCTTAGTGGCGAGTCGGGGGAAGGACTTTTAAAATAGTTGCCAGAGACAGCACATCTTTGGGGAAAAAATTACATGGTCAGTAACTAGTATTTCTATATGGTGAGTAACTCATCTCAGAGGCACACTGTAATTGACCTATTAGCTTGTTTAAATAAATTATAAAGTTACTTCTAACATTTCAGCCCTTTTAAATGTGGAGGAAAAGTGATTACTTAAACAAAAGTAATGATTTTGGTTTTTTTTGGTAACATTCTTTGGCCTCTCTTGTATAAGATGGCCTGAGAGGATCCATACAGAATTATCAGAATGCTGAGATTTTTTTTAACCTAAGGACATTATAGTTTTGAAGGCTAGTATAGCTCCACTATAGATACAGTAAGTGTTTATAAATCATATGTTTTCTTTCTTAAATCAGCGGAAGGTCCTGGGAAATCAGATGATGTCAGAAAAGAAAAAGAAGAACCCCACTCCAGAATCTGTAGCCCTTGGTGAATTGAAGGGAGCCAGCAAAGAAAATATGAACTTAGTAAGACATTGTTCTTTGGACTGTCTTTGCGTATGTATTTGTAGAAAAGAAGAAAATTGATATACTGTCGTCTGTTTTAGTGTGTTTCTTTGGGCCATTCAAATGGCTTTTTCTCAGTCCTTTCATTTGTGCTACCTTTTTTTCTGTTGGTTTTCATTGATTCATTCAACAGACAAACACATGTTGAGTTCAAGAAGGATATCACTAGTCACAAGCAGATGAGTAGTACAGTACAGTAGCTCCTTAAACAAGTGCTGGAGGAAGCAGTTAGTTCTTACTGGGAGACTCCGCAGGCAGGAGACATTTGAACCAGGCCTCCTTGGCTCTACATTACCTGTGGGGTGGTGCTTCAGGATATCCTAGGCATGCCTACTTCATTCAGCTGGTAGTAAATCAGTGAAGATTAATGAGATATAAATACATCAGTCTCAGAAAAACTGTTGACATTGAAATTGAACAAGCAAATAATTACTTTGTTAGTAAAGTCTGTTTATAGGAATGCCTTTAGAACATTGAAACCACTGTACAATTTTTTTTATTTCAGTTATTTTCTGGCTCTCCAGCTGTCATGATGACACCAACAAGATTGAAGTGGTCTGAAGGAAAGAAAGAGAGGAAAAAAGGTAGTAATTGTATCTTACTAAATGTAATTCCTTTCTGCATCTAGTCAGTAGCATTTGTTTGAATTCCCAGGATAGTACATTTGTAGTCAGAAGTGACATAAAAATTACAAGGTCAGATCCTTGCCCTTGAGTTCATTCACCAGATGGTTATTGAGCCATCTACTCAGCACTGTCTCGGGTGCTAAGGGGTAGAGCTGTGAATACAGACACACATGGTCCCTGAGTTGTTGGACAGACAGGACACACGGGGAAAATACCTTAAGAATACTCCCAAAGCAAATTAAAAGCAAATGTAAATGAATTCGTGGAACCAAGTACAACAGTGCTGAGAGTACATGGTGAAACACTGTCTCTACTAAAAATACAAAAAAAAAAAATTAGCTGGGCATGGTGGCACGTCCCTGTAATCCAGCTACTCAGGAGGCTGAGGCAGGAGAATTGCCTGAACCCAGGAGGCGGAGGTTGCGGTGAGCTGAGATCGCGCCATTGCACTCCAGCCTGGGTAACAAGAGCGAAACTCCATCTTAAAAAAAAAAAAAAAAAAAAAAGAGAGAGAGTATGCTTATGGAATAGTTAGGTTCCTTTTCTGTGTAGGCTAGGCTTAATTAGTGAAGCTTTCCAGATCAACACTCACGCCTAAGGATCCTGGAAGTCATATCATACAGCATATTTTAAGGGCTGTTGAGGACAAAGAAGACTATTTAATGCTGGGACTGCTGATTGTCTGAGGCTTGTCTTGTAAAAGGCTGCTATGCCTTCCTCTGAAGGAGCCAAGTGAGTCCATGGAAAGGCCTTGAGATTTGTGGTTAGTCCTGATTGGAGTTATCATTCCTCTGACCCAGGAAAACCACTCATTCTCTCTGAACTCAAGTTTTCTTCTCTGAAGATGAGGATAAAAGTTACATCTACTTCACAGATTTATTAATTTATTATGATGCTCCATTGAAATAATGTTTTGGCAGCAGTTTCTAATTGTTAAAGCATTAATAAGTGGTTATAGTTGTTACTATAGAAAACCGGATGAAACTTGGTCTTGTTAGATACGGCTTATGTGGCAGCTGAAGTGATGTATGGTTTGACATGATCATCTTATCACTGGAATATGAGCATAATTACTGTTTGAGACATCAGCAATACAAAGAGAACAAAAGCCTAATCCTTATGGATAAATTCCTTTCTGGAAAATGAGATTTCAGTATCATCTTCTTACTTATCCTTGAATGAATTATCTAAGCTCTCTTTTCTTTCCTCCTTGCTTTTGTCTTCTAGGCTGGGCTGTCTAATTGAAACAGGATCAGTGTTTGAGTTTTTTGTGTCTAAATATTTTTGTATGTCCATGAATCAAAACTAAGCATAAGTTATTTTTGAAGACTAAGTTGTTTTGTATCAGTTACACCTTTTGTTGCTTTCATTTTTGAAAGGCATCCAGAAATAATATCTTTTTGTATTGACAACTCTACCTTGGAAAGAAAGGAAGACATTTTTAAAAAACCTGTTTAATATTTCACCCATAAGTGTTAGAGCAGGGATTCTTGACGTGTCATCTGTGGATTTCCTAAATGGTCTAATACAGTTCCTGGTGTTGTTGGTGCAATCTTTTATGTAGATGCATATTTGTATATTTCTGGGGGTGAGAATATATAGTTCTAATCAGACCCTCAAAAATGTTAGTAGTTCAGAGAAGTTGAGTCAATGAATGACCCTCAATTGGATCAAGCAATGGCACTTTCACTTTACTCTGTCCTGGTCACTTCCTGTATCTGGAAATGCTTTCCTTGGTGTTATGTTGCTACATTACTCTTGTTCTCCTTCTTCCTCTTTAACTCTTTTTCTTATCTGCAGTGGCTTACTGTTGTTTGCCTATTCTACTACATCTTTATTTTTTCAATGCTCTATCTTAAGTTCTCTGCTTTTTTCTGCTCTTGCTTCTCCTGCCTCTTTGCAGCTTAGTCTTCTTTCACTCACAGCATGAGTTCTGCCTTCAGTTGGGCTTGGGTTCCATTCCCAGTTTTGCTGCTTACTAGCTAAAAATTAGTCCTCAGGCAAGTGAACTCTGTAGGCTGCAGGTTCTTTCTCTGTAAATTGGTAGGAGTAGTATCTCATATACTGTTTATTGTGAGGATAAATGAAATAATGTACATAAAGAACTTAGAGGCCAGGTGCGGTGGCTCACGCCTGTAATCCTAGCACTTTGGAAGGCTGAGGTGGGCAATCACCTGAGGTCAGAAGTTCAAGACCAGCCTGATTAACATGGTGAAACCCCATCTCTACTAAAAATACAGAAATTTGCTGGGTGAAGTGGCGGGTGCCTTTAATCCCAGCGGCTCGGGAGACTGAGGTGGGAGAATCGCTTGAACCTGGGAGGCGGAGGTTGCAGTGAGCTGAGATCATACCATTGCACTCCAGCCTGGGTGACAGAGTAAGACTCCATCTCCCTGCTCCCCGCCGCCAAAAATTCTTAGAGCAGCACAAAATATGCACTTACTATTAGCTGTTACAGCCATTAAGATGATTTAATGAATGAGATTAGATCAGGCAGATATTTATTTGGTAGAGTCACACAGAAATGTGTGCTCAGCTGCCACAAATTCTTAATTTGTGACTGAGGATTAATGAATCCTCAGTTTGGTGAAAATATTAAGTGTAGACCCTATAGCTTTTGGGTGGGATGTTTGCAAAAAGAAATATTTAAGAACATGTCTAATGCTCTTGTTTTTCCTTCAACCTAGGATTCCTCTGAAGGATCCAGAGTTCTCTCCTATGGTCCATGCAGAATTTTCTCTTTAGTGGGCCTTTGTTATTCCTGTCACAGCGAAGCTTGGACTTGCAGCTTGGTTGCTGCATTTTAAATCGTGAAAGCCAACTAATACCATGACCCGACTGATACCTCTAATCCCACTCACTGGATGATGTTTGCAAGCTGTGCCTTCTGAGAGAGTGCTTAGGTTCTCTTTCTCTTTGTTAATATTATGGGGAAACCACTAACTATCCAACCAGCTTATATAGCACAGTAAGGTGGGCTCCATGCTCAGTGTGTTTAGGCAGATTGTGCTTTTGAAAAAAATAGGAAATGTGTGCTCAGCTGCCAGTAATTTTTTAAAAAGCACTGTCAATCCTAGTGGATTGATGTTATTTTTAATGGATATTTTGGGGTTTTCTCTGTTTTGATAGTGTTGGGTATTTGGTTGTTTTTGTTTGTTTGTTTATTTCTTTGTTTTAAAAGCCATGTTTTTGGATGGGCTCCAAGCTAGGTGCCTTTCCCACTTTTTCACTTTGAGAAAACTCTTTATCTTATGAGGCTGTATTCCTCAATACCTAATTTGTGTCCAAAGAATTTATAGCTTTCCTGGACATTTTTTATTATTTCTTGGGTCTGACATCAAAGAGTATTTGACCTGCAGTATTGAAACAGGAGAATTCAGGATAATATAATATTCTAACAAATTGTAATTATTAAACTCTTTTCCTTCCTTTCCTTCCTTTTCCCCTCCCTTGCCATCTCTCTTCCCCTTTTGCCAGTGATGTGAAAATAATTGTGTTTTGCTGAACTTGTTACCTTCATTCAGTTTCCTCTTAACTAAAACATCTCCGATGCCAACATAATACTTGTGAACCAAATCACTGTGACTCAAGAAAAGTCCCTGACAGCACATTAGAAGTTTGCTGAAATATCTGTATGTGGGGGAAGCTCTGGAATGTGCCTGGGAGGGCGCTGGCTGCCTTTATGTCCCAGGATGACTCTTTATGGGTGGGATTATGGTGTACCCTCTGACCATCATACCAATCAGGTGCAGTCTAGACTGTCTCCTGAAAAAAGAAGCGAGCAGCAGCCTCTGCAGGGCTGACAGGATTTAAAGGAGAGAATGTTCTTATTTGGAAGCAGCTGTGGCTTATCACCAGTGTTCAAGGAGTTTTACTGCACCGCCCTCTTCTTGTCAGAAGGGGCACAGGTGGGGCCAGAACTTTTGGCTTTTGGATTTGGTGTGTTCACATATGTTGGAGGGAGCAGTGGCCTGGCTTTGACCTCATAGGAACTGGTTTCTGCCCAGAGAGCAGCATGTGGCAGGGAGAATACTGCCTGGCTCTGTGGAGCTGTACAACCCTTCTCACCCTGTGGGTTGGAGCTGAGTCAGGCCACTATGGGGAAGCAGTTGTCCCACAAAATGTGGTTTTCTGACCTATTTCTAACTGGTTGAATATGCTATGCTATTGCCGAAATGAAAGATGACTCCGGGGGAGCAGAGTTTGGCCTTGTGCCCAATTGGCAGCCCTCTCTGCCAGCCTTTCTGCTGCTTTTGCTGCTGTAACAGCAATAGTGGAGAAAAATGTAAAATTTGGTCTTCCAACTTAATAGAGTGTGAACAATAGATGGCTAGGAAAACAAAACTGCTTACAAGCCCCTTTCCCTTGAGTAGCATATGTCATTTTTAAAAACACTTATTAGCAAGTTCATTTGTGTAGCTTTCTATTAAATATTTAACTATTTTTTTCTTATTAAAAATGTGAAATCCCTTATAGCAGATATCTTTAATTCAAACAGAAAACCCTTTGGGTATCACCAAATTGAAATCGTGTTCTCTCTTAACTCTTTCTTCCTTAATTTATATACACATGTTTCATCTTGAAGTGATGCTGTGGTCTTTTAAACATGGGCTGGCATCAGGTAGAGGGAGCAGAGTGGTGATCTAATAGCTCCTTGTCATTGCGTTAGGTTTTGGTTCTATTTGAGGGAAGTAGCTCAGATTTAGACAGGTGTAGATGCTCTTTGGGTGAATGGAATCAGTAAGCAAGAGTTCTAGGGTGAGGGTGGTGAGAGACATGTTTATCACATGCACATGCCTTTGTATAGCTGGTCTCCTTGGGCAGTTTGTGTGTGTTTTGTTTATTTATTGAATATGTTTTCCCTTGCCTTAGGGGTTTCATAGGTCATTTTTCTAAATAGAAACTGTGATTGACTTAGAATCCAAATTTGAGGAGTAAGCAGCATAGCCTTCTACCTT